ATTGATAAGCCTGCCAATGCCGCCGATTCTCATGATACAGTCCGGAGTCGTAGACATTTAACGCGATGCAGTGAAACGAATAGAATTGTTTACTAACTTAGTCCGTTAACCACCACTCGCTACTAATTTATTAAATTGCCCTCGAAGGCTTCTTCGCTACGAAGAGTAACTGAAAGTACTCCTATTACAAAGTCTGTTGCGTCCTAGTCTCACAACTCACTTGAGTTTCGCGGGATTGTAAGTTTAAACCTAACCCAAACCACAAAGGCCTAGTTGAAGTGCAGTGACTTTCTGTTTTATCCAGATTTGTAGTCGTCTCCACAGGGGTTTGTTGGTTTTACTTTTGTCGTTGATTGAGTTCTCTGATTCTGTTGATCGGTGTGTTCTGGATGTCTAGAAAATTCTGTCCTCGAAGTGTTTCTCTATTGATTACTCTTGCGTCGTAGAGGAGATTTTGTCTTAATTGCCGATCGGCGGATTATGGAATGGCTTTGGTGGTGGCTTATCCGCCGAATGTCTGACATGTCTGAGTACAATCGAAAGGATCAGGGCGTGAATCCCTGAGTGCTATTGCCAATGGACATGTTTATTGCCTAGTGCTCCGATTCTCTAGCGTGCTTGACTATAACACGTGACAGATTACGTATTTTATCAAAGTCTATGAGCTTGTTTTAACATCCGTGTTTAGTCACCCGAATGTTGACAATCGGTCACAGAGATTTCCATTTCGCTGAGCATTCTTTCGTGAAGAAATTTGTACAAATATTATTTTGTTGTAATATAAGAAAAATACTATCCCCCCAATGAAGAATATAAATTTAGCTTTTTAGTAACAGACTTGATGCCGTAGGTCATTTTATTGATTGTCAGAGCTAAGAGCTAATATTTAATTATATGCCCAGTCCTACGTGAAAGGATGGAGATCAAATACCCGGTCGTCAACGTGTTAATCTAGCATAAAGAGAAATCGTGTGTTATGAATTATCCTACCTAAACAGTCCCAAACTATGTGACACGTGTTTAGTATATTAAGTTCTACGAGAAAATTGCTAATATCTAATGTGACAGGGGAAAGTTAGCTTTGGTTGGTATTGTAAGCTGGTCGACTTGGACTTTTGTCTGTGTATGGATTAAGATTGAAATGGATGGAACGAAGCAGGACATCGAGCCCAGATCGTCCCAGGACAGCAAAGGATTAAGTAATGACATATGGAAGAGCTAGTTCAAACAATACGATTTCTTAAGCGATTTGGTCATTATGCCGAATCGATAGTAATCGAAAGCGCTCATGTATACAGTACGGAACAAAATGATAGCACACTCCATGATTTTCACTCTATGATTTTTCAAATTTCTCGAGATCAATGTCTGTAAATTGCACTTATATATACGTATAAAATATCCTTTCCTTAATTTTTCGCAATTGCTTATCTTTTCAAGGCACATTAGAAATCTAGAAAATAACTCGAGTCATTTGTCTTTCCCAACGAGACGTGAAAATATTATTATTCAAATAATATAACAATCAAGGAAAAGATCATTTTCTTCTTTAATAAATTAAGCTCTAAATAAATTTCTAAATTATTATATTATTATAATATTAAATTTCTAAATCAAAATACATTTCTAACCTAACCTCAAAATAATCTTAAACCAAATAACACGATATATTGAATAAATAATATATTGAATAATAATAATTGAAAAATAACATCTCAAGCTATAATAAATCACTAATTATCAGAGTTAATGGATTTTGTTATAAAATTTCATAAGGAAAGTGTATTTTGTAAAAACATATTCATTTTCACAAAATTTTGTCTAAATTGCAGAATATATTTCATAAAGTAAAATATGTTATAGAATAGCAGTTATTATATTATACTTGGTAGTGCATTCTATTTATATTTCTTGGAATTAAACTTACATAGGATTGGTCATAGTTAACCTATTGCAACTTACACAGATACATCGCATTGGAATCATTTATTCTATATGTTCAGCTATGTGTACATTCCGTATATTTTATTTGCACGTTTCCGAATAAGCACGATTATGAACAAATGAAATACTATGCGTCACATTCGATAAGATGTATATCTTTCGTTGAAATTAAATTCTTTTAAATATAAATATAAAAGAAAGCAAAATCGTTTATATTTTTACGTATATACATATAATTACTTCTAATTATTATTGTTGACTGTAATTGAAAACTACAGTAGAAAAACATAATGAATCATATTGTCCTCGTTTTATTATCAAGCAATCTCATACTATCGATATTCTGTTTTTCTTTGCCTTCACAGACAAATATATATATTTACCATCCTTCTGATTATATTTTTGACTATGTACAATTATTCCCATCATTGTTATTAATGTTACAATTGAAAATAGCAATGAGAGCACATGATAAGTCACATTCTTCTGATTTTACTATCATTTAATCTTTTATTTCCAAAACCGTGTCATTATCTAAAAATTTTTTCTTATCGTGTCAAATTAATTGAGTCTCTTATTTGCCAAATTTCTAAATCAACTCCATAGGTAAAAAATAGAAATTCATTTAAAATTTAAATACGAAAAATTAAGAATCAAGCAACGGCTTTGGCACTAAAACTTCTAAAAATTCCGAGAGTGGAGAAAACCATTTTGGCTTACAATCAGTTATACGATAGATTTCCTTCTCTAATTTTATCAAATCATCGCCCATTTATAAAAGAATTACATCTTTGAACCTGCTAAGTTGTTTTATCTTATTTACCAATTAAACTCATAGCGATATCTCGGAAAAATAGTAATTATTTAATTACTATTTTTTTATTTTATTTTTATTTTAAGAGGTATAAAATTATTTACACATAAAGAATGGTACACGAGCAAGTGCTGGTGGTTCTTTTCTAAGCACTCAACTTGTAATCGTTAATATTTTAATCAAGTGTACATAAGCATGGTCGCCACGTGTCTTTACAAATCGTCACGCAACATTAAGCAGTGCATGCAATGCAAAAATTAAACGATGTTACATTCGTACAGATAAATATTCTTTTAATAAGAACATAATTTCCAAACTTCATTCAATACAATTTTCCCAATGAAACACTTCGTTCCTTGTTTCTCTTTGCTACAGTAGGATAGAAAAATAATAGAACATCCTGTAGTTGTCGATCCTTGAACCTAATGCAATGTATGGATATGCACTCATATAATATTGTCTGGTCCTTAATAATACAGAAGAATATTAACACTAGAACTACCAACCCAGTCAAAATGACTGGTCCCAGAATTTTCCTTTTTGCAATCACCGAACACATACACCTGCTTTAAGAATAAAATTGGTATCAACTTATATTAAGAAAGAACTGTAATCAATATATTCACTCATATTCATCGTACCGCTGAAATTACTATAATTTGTGCACGTTATAGTTAGGTACCCATTAAAGATCGGTAGGTCTAGTGTTAACTACAGCTTACATTTCTTTCTACAAATTTTACTTATTATACTATCCTCCCCCAAGGTTGTAGTCGACATTGTATTCTAGTTGTGGTGGTGTAGCCTGGAAGGTAGGGTAGCGATAGAAAGAACCAAAAGAAAAAGAGGGGGTGCATTTCGTTCGGGGGCCTGCTTGTGGACTCATCAGTAAGAGTACCTAGCAGACTCTTGCCTTAGACGATAATACTATTGGAAGATCTGGAATTTATATATTGAGTAAAAAAACAAATCGAAAATAAAGAATAAAATTTTTTCATTCGAAGCTTCGTTATCGAGAAAATCGACTTTTAACACGTTATGTGCCCAGTCCGTTTTGCTTGCCGTTTCGTTCAGGCCCAGACTCGGCCGTCAAGTGGGCCACCGGCGGCGAGCGAAGTGTTCATAAAACTCGGAGATACTGTATCAATTGTTATAATAGGAATTCCCAAACGTTAGGTCCAAAGATGGCGAAGAATTTAACACCAAAAGTTAGCACCTTTTGGTCCTAGTCTGGACTGGTCCCTGAGGACCGGCCGGGCCCGAACGGAAAGTCTAGCGCCGGTCCCTGGGGACCAGCGTGGCACTTAACGTGTTAAATTGAATATAGTGTCTTCAATTTTGATTAACACATTGACTGCCGTGGTGGTCATCAGTGACTGACGCTTGTCTTCTCAGTGGGACCATGATGGTGACTAGTGTCCGCACCAATGTAACGTAACGAAAACACACAAAGACGCACTCTAATTTAACTCTCTTTCCAACACCGAGCAACTCACGCTCGTGCTGGTTACAATTAATTTCTAAGAACTCTGTTTTGGTCGCCAAGGACTCTGCTTTTATGCATTTCTTAACCTACGCTTCACCTTCCTGTAGGAACCACGCAACTTAATTTTGTTACCCAAAATAACTTTTCCATTTGCTTCTAGAAAATATTGATTCACCGAGCACGCTAGTATACCGATGGTCCATCCGCCTTAGCCAAAATTAAGTGCACGCATACTAGGTGAATATTCAAAGTCGATTTTCTCGACAACGAAACTTCGAATGAGAAAATTTTATTCTTTATTTTCGATTTGTTTTTTCGTTTAGAATTTCCCCTTTCTTGTACTACCATTGCTGGGACACCCTGTATATGGGAATCGGAGGGTTCAAGGCACTTGCGAGAAATTCGGTCCTCTTAGAATTCCTCTGATAGTGGGTGTGTAATCTGTGTGACAAAATAACACAGGCATCGAAAAATAGATTAACGAGAGTTGGTTTTTTGAAAATGCAAAGGCTTCTTATATATTTTCGTATGCTGAATCTGAATCTGGCAGGGAAAACTGCTCACCGTCTTAAGTTTATAAAATGAACAAATAAGAAATATCGATTTTTGCTATTTTCACGAAAGTACTATAAGAATAATATTATTTTCACAGTATCTTTATCAACTGCTTCGAAAAGAACTGACCTATCCCTGTAAAATCAAATTTGATTTATAATCACGTAAGTTCTTTTTGCCAAGCCAGCCTTTAAACCAACCATGTCCTGTAGATAGGTTTCAGTTACATCAACGTCAAGAACTTTGAAAGTATAATAGTACTATAAAAGTATCTGTTTCAAATTGTTTAGTGAAAGAATTTGATTGCAGATCAACAAAATGGATCGCAGGTGTTCGAGGAATCTGATGCTCGCAGCGCAGGAAAATGGCGAGGAGAGGCTGGCCTCTTGTCGACCCCTCCGAACGGATATTTTCCACAACAGAACGTCGGTACTGTCAAATTCGAAGTTCCAAAAGTGCCTGTCATATTTGTACTTGGTTCGTATCCTGTATGATTTAATTTTAAAATGAACGGAAAGAGTTTGGTCCTTCCAAATGAAACTATTCGTCGCGTATGAAGGATCGACTTGTAATTTTATGCAAATTTTCCCTACGAACAAAAACAATCCAAAATGTAATTCAGAATAAATCTCTTTTAAATTTCTCAAACGTAACATCCCGAGTGTCGTCACTCTGAGACACCTGATCTTTGATTAATCCAAAATTTGCTATTGAAAAACAGAGAATTGTATTTGTGGTGTATTTATATGTATGATGCATATGATATATCTTTGATCTTTCATAACAAGGACGAAAATTTTGATCTCTGTTTTTGGTTTAAGAAAATATAGTTTATGTATACATTACCGACCTGAAGTATTAGGACAATTGCAGTAAGTTCGTTAGAAATAGTCGAACAATAATCTTTATATAATCATTTTAAAGATGGAAGATTATAGTTTCACATCCTTAAATTGAATTTTCTCAAATGCCTTTTTACACTTGGAGAAAAGTATGTACCGAATATGATTTTTTCCAAAAATATCAGAAAAATTCAAGCGACTGTCAAATCTACAAAAAAATTTGGTCACGACTAAAATCACAATGAATGTAAAGATTGAAACCTCCTTTTTTCCAAAATCCTTCTTAACCCATTTGCATCATGGCTCTACTTAAGGTGCCGTGTTCAGGCATCAACGACGTTCAACTGACGACTAACCCTTATCACCACGCGCGTATCAGTACCTACTCATAATGACAGTTAAAAGGATTTTCACAACAAAAGTAAAACTTGTTAAGAATATAATGAACCGATGTAGATGAGATGCTCACAAAAGGGAGCAAACGTGATCTATGGCATATGAAAAATATTCAGCAACTGGTAATGGAAAAAGTCAGCTCGCGGATTATTCCGCGCTCGGTGATAAACGACAGTCGTAGTTCGCGGAATATTCCGCGCTCGGTGATAGACGACAGTCGTAGCTCGCGGAATATTCCGCGCTCGGTGATAGACGAC